ATTAATAAATTATTTAAATCATTAACAATATCAAACCTTGTCTTTAGTTATAAATTTAAAATTGGATACAATTCACTTGATAAAGCAAACAACTTTTGATTAATAGACAATGATACATAGGATGAATAAAAGGGATGAATTTTTGAAACTAATGACGTGATAACACGTTGTTAATATATTAATTTTAAAAAATTTAAATTAAGTTATGTTTTCTTATTTATCTCTTTACCTCTTTTTTATTTTTATTTTTTCTCTTTTCAAATCTTCTATCTTTCTCTCTCATCTCCCCTTTTGTTTTTTTGCCAAGCTCCTCCTCCAGTGAACTTCGTTGAACTTAAGGATCAGGTTCAACCGTATCCTCGCAATCAAAATCCCATGGTCATGGTTTTAAAATTAAAAAAAAAAAAAAAACTAAATCCTAATTATTTAGTAAAATTAAACTCAATTGAAAAAAATTTTAAATTTATAATTAATCCTTACCGGGAACAAGAGAAATAACGACAAAAGATAAAGATTTAAAAAATAAAAAATAAAGATTTAAAAAATAATAATAATAATTAAATTTAAAATAGAATACAAAAGAAAGAAATATACCAAAAAAAAAAAGTCAAGTCAGTGGAAAAACAGCTTGCAAAACAGAGGGCAACTCGGTTCCTTAACTCACCTTGCAACCCGAAGCACTCGGACTCGGTTCGATCAGCAAACCCGACGGCGTAATTCGGATCTCCAATGGACCTCAACACGTACTGCTTCTTCCCACTCGATTCGTTGGGCACGATGCACCCCTGCAACTGAGCGAACTCGTCGCTGCCCCGCCTCACTCGGACCAGAATCGACGTCTCCTTCTTCTTGAACGAGGACTGAAGAATCTTCTGCACCCCGCTCTTCCCGTTCTTGAAAGGAGGGCATAACGTCGTCCCGCCGGACCTGGAATTAGAACCTATCTGGATCTCCTCCACGATGTCTCCCGTCTGGAGCATATCTCTGGTCCATTCGTCGGCTTTGGAGCTGCCTTTCAGGCACTCGATTGAAAGGACGACTGGCGATCTCGCGGTTTCTCCGTCTCTATCCATGGGCATTGGCCGGCCGGGTCGAGTTGTTTATAGGGGTGAAGTCGATTGGTTATCAGTGAAAACGATCAACGTATTTATTCTGCTGGAAACACAACATGTAAGAATAGAATTCAACAAAAGCGGATATGAATTCGTGGATTTTCCTGAGAAACAAACAGAATTTTGCAAAGAAGTTGGAATTAATGGTATATCTGCTTATCTGGAAAGGGTTTACGAAGTTAAGAGTGTGAAAATTGAAAGTCGTCACAATGGAAGATGAAGGTTTTAGGAGTACTACGGAAAGTTAATTTCCAGGAATTTGCAGCGACTAATGTTTGGACTTTAAAAACGATTGAGAGTTGGAATTTTATGACATTCATAATTCATATGTACTAGTTTATATAGATAGCCTGGAACTTTAGCATCTTGAAAAAAATTAAAATTTAGAGTAGGTGGATTTTTTTAATTAACTTTTCGATAACTTTATTGGATCCTATTAATTTAAAATTAAATTAATCAGATTATATAAAAGAAAAGATTTTTTGATATTTATTTTTTTATTTATGAGATTTTAATTCAAAATTTTATTTTAAAAAAATTGAGTTACTTTTACTTAGATCAATCAAAAAAATATCTCTTAATATTTATTTTTTTATTTATAAAATTTAAATTTAAAATTTTATTTTTAAAAAAATCGAATTATTTTTACTTCATCAACAAGTGATCGCCAGTTTATTAGTCCACTATTTGTCTTCTTCTATATCCTATCTTATATAGAATAAAAAGAGAGAAAGAGTGTCGTATATTCCCTATTACGTTGCATAATAGTAAATTAGTAATTATCATCTCATTAGATAATAGCGGACTTTTTAATATTTTTTAAAATTTTAAATTATATAATAAAAATAATTTTTTATTTTTTACTTTACTTTATTTATAAATGTGATTTAAATTTTAAATTTTTTATTTTAAAAAAAATCACTACCAAATAAATTAAATAATTAATATTAAAAATTATTTTCTCATAAAAAAAATTTTTATTTTTCATTTAATATAATTGATGTTACAAAATAAAAAAACTCATAACAAAAAATTATGTCTTTTAAAAATAACACTTACTTTATGGCAAGGGAGAAACCTCATGGGACTGGTTAGGTGCAATTCAGCCTTTGTACTTGTACTTGTACTTGTAATGTTGTAGTAAGTCAGTTCCTATACTTTAAATGATGACAAATCAACCCCTTTACTCCACTAAATCCTCAAAACAGCCCTTTATTTAAAGATGACATCCTCCAATCTTTAAACTATTCCATTACTCATTAAAGTTGATGAGTTGCACTGATTGGACAACAATTGGGCAGTCTCATGGGTCAAATTCACGTGACTTAAATCAAAATATTATGAGTAATGATATAAGGATAATTTTTTTATAATATTTTTATATAATTTTTACATATCATTAAATAAGTAGATATATTTAATATTATGAGTGTCAAATAAATAAAAAAATGATAATTTAAATAACATGTAAACTTGTATTAAAAGATAATATAAAAAAATTATCTTTAAATTATTTTTTAAATATTGTATTGCCATGTCGAATAATCAAAGTCTAGATCAATCATCTGTTAGTTTAAATAGAAAGAACTTGATTCTCTTTAAATAAGATTTTGGATCCTAATTTTATGAATAAAGAAACAAGCGTTGAAAAAGTTTCTTTTTTATAAAATTCAACGCGATTCAATTCCGAATTAATCAAATTCAATGTAATTGTTAAATATTAAAAAATTAATATAAATAAATAAATATATATATATATATATATATATATACAAGTCCAATGATTTTGGTCTATGTCATTGCCCAATCAATGCCAACTCATCAGACTTCAATGGGAAATGGAACAGTCTAATAATTAGATAATGTCACCTTTATTGAAAGGGCTATTTCAAGATTTTCTAAAATTGGGGTTACTTTACTATAATTTAAAGATAAGAGCTGACTTACCACAACATTACAAATATAGGGGCTGGATTACACCTTCTGCCGACTAAACTGTGATGGTGAGCTGAGATTCTGAGGTCCCTTCACAATCAAAACAGGAAACTTCCGGAGCTGGACTTTCAAGGCTCAGCAGTAAACACGTTTGTGCAGATTATATGAATATTTTTAAGTCTTTTCAACCTTGAGCAAAAAACAAAATGCTTCTGAATTTCAATCATTTCTTTGTTTGAAATTAGAACAGTCCATCATCCAATGGCACTGGGAAAATAAAATGAGATATGTACATGATATGAAATAAAATGCAGCCAGTCCACTGGACCCACATGGACACCCCACCCCAGTCCACCCAAAAAAGAAAAAGTGGAGACTAATTAGCCTTCGAACTTGGCCTAAAAGCATGTCTCCTAGTCCTAGCACTTATCATGGCGCGACAGTTCTGCACGTCGGCTTGAAAGTCTAGAGTTTAATTTATCTTAAATTAATTTATAACTTAAAATAATTACTTTTAAATTAAAAATAATTCTTTAATATTGAACCCTTTTCTTCATTCATAAATTTTAATTATAAAATTTAATATAATTTAAATTATAAAATTTAACATCAAGTTAAATACTTGTTTCGATTCAATGGTATAAATTTTGAATTAAGGTCCATTATTTTTTATGAGTTATATGTTCGAATCTTATAAATTCTTTTCTTTTAAAAAAAAAAA